ATTAGATTCCTTAAGTGAATACAGCTGTAATTGACCATCTTTTCCCAGCAGCAGTTTGGCAGTAGTTTGTAAAAAGTGTATAGACTTTGTAGCAATCCAAACAACACTTCAATTTGAAACAAAATTTCCAATTCATTTTTTAAAATGTAGCCTACAAGTCATAAAGGGTTATCTTGGCTTCTTTCTATCCCACCTGATTTCATACTACCAGCATTTGTGAGATGACTGTCACATTTTTCAGCCTTCTCCATTCAACATATCCAGACCCAAAGAAAAAAGGAAGGCTTGAGAAGCAAATGAAATTTAAAGAGTCCACTTTCAGTGGACCTTCATTTTAAGAGTTGTGCTATTTTTGTCTTTGTTTTTACCACCAAAGTGATGCCTGCTTCTGTACCCAAGCATTTGTGATGAGGAAGGCACAGGGACCACAGGCACAGGTGTCCGATTTACATTCATAAATGCAGGTGTTGCTCAGACACAAAACAGAGGTCAACTGAATACTGCTCCTAATTAGCTACCTTTTCTACTAGGATTTTTCTTTGTAAAGTTATGCATGCAATTTGGGTTCAACTTAGAGACCATTTTCAGATCCCAGCATGCTATCCAGAAAGAAATGGGCTGTCATTATAAAGCATAATTTACAGCATAGTTAACTTTGCATGTTTTTTAAAAATCCTACAATATACGTAAAGACAAAATTCTATTCTACATACATTATTCACCCCACTTTCCATCTATTTCTCAATATTTGAAATATAAAATTTAGCCAGGAAAAAAAAAACTTGTGTAGGATTGGGAAGAATTTTTCATTTTTTTCTAAGATTACATTCAAACTTTAATAATGAGGACTAAGGACTTTGTTAAATAACACGAGAAGTAGCCTTTTGCTATTGCCTTCAAGGAAACACTCTGGGACTTACTACAACAGCTCTTAGAAATGGCAGGATGGAGGCTGGTATATAATTCAATCCATTAGGAAACCCAAATCCTAAATGAAATGACCACAAAATTCTATCAGTTAACAGAAATGCAGCCACTGTACATGTTTAACGTAATACAATATAATATTGTTGCAGAAATAACACTTTTAAAACTAAAAAATTAAAAGAACCCAGCAAGTGATATGACAAGTTTATTTCTCTATTTAAAAAAAGAGAAAGCATAGCACAGCAGAGCTTTGTAATGTGTAAATAAGAGTGAAGACTGTGGAGAAGACAGGTATTGTACGCACACAAATAGGCTCCTAGGATTAGCCCACAAAGTCCCTGGCTAAACATCAAACCCCTGCAACTCCCAAGTTTTTCATGAGGTTCAGAGACCCGCCCCAGTTAGTCCTGGTGGGAAGTGAAATATAAATGGTCCTTCTCCCACTGCCGACTTTACCTGTTGTATGTATTCCAAATACTAAATCTTATCCTGGCTTCCAGCTATCCATTTTTCAAAATGTATACTGTGGAGGCTTTGAATTCAGTTTGACTTTAAATTTTATAGTGACTTTTAAAAGCTTATATATTATATAGTATTCTGGACTGCTTTTTCAAATGATATCAGGCGCATTTCTTTCAAGGCTTCCTACAAAGTCAAGTGTGACATATAGTACCAGGGTTGTAACAAATGTATCTTGCTTGATTTTATTTACTACCAATAGCCCATCAAGATTCAGATCCTTTAACCCTTCAGAATTACACAAATACAAAAAGGCCTGTTCTGCAGCCATCTTCTGAGATGGAATGTGAAGTATTTTGTTGGGGTAAGTAGGGCTTTGGAGAAGAAAGCTCTGGACCCACTCCTGGGGTTGTAACCCCAGTGCTCCATATTCAAAATGGGGGGGCCCCCAGGGTTTTGAGGATCACATCAATCCCCCTTTGTTAAAACGTGTCTCCCATGGGTCCTCCTTTCCACCCCCCCCGAGAATCACTGCCCCCCCAAAAGTGAACTTGTCTGTTGATCATCCCAAAAGAATTCCAAACAATTTTGTCACTTGCCTCCCTTTTTCAATGAAGATTATGAGCCTAATTCTTAGAGACTACTACTAAAATTCTGCCCTGCTGAAATCTGCAGCCTAATTCTTTAGGCATTGTGTTTTTTGGCAGAATGAATGTGACCCAAATGTGCAGGAGATAATTTGATGCAATAGTGCTTCTTGCAATGTGGTGAGGCCATGATTAGCATTTCAGGATTGCAAATCTTACATTTAAAAAAATTGTTTGCTTCAAGAAAAAGCAGATTTTGATCTTGTATTATGGAAATGCTTAGCAAAATGCGGGCCATTTTAGGAATTAAGGTTTACAGATCAATGAAAAATAATCAAGGACTAGCAATTTCAGTACCTGGCGGCAAAATGCTACATATAGCAGTTAAGGATCAAGAAATTGTGTGCGTGTGTGTGTGTGTGTGTGTGTGTGTGTGTTTGTGTGTGTGTATGTGTGATTGTCAAAACACCATGCATTTCATTTCCCATCGGTGGTGCCTAATACTATTCTAAGAGGACAGTATGTCTTTTAAAACAAAATAAAAACTATAACCATGGCTGTTCCTGTGTTCATCTACCTTGCTTCTCACAAATGCCTGGCTGTGTGAGCAATGCTGGTTTATATAATGGTAATTTCTCCTTTTGTCAAAATTAATCCACTTTAACATAGTGTCGAGAAAGGCTTGACACTTTTCTTGCCTAGAGTTTGTGGGTCAGATTTTGGTAAAAGCAACAGCACCATCTCCCCGCTGTGAACAAGAATTGAGTGGACTGAAGCTTTCTAGCCATTCTTCCGCAGCTAGCTGCTCGGCTCTCAGAAGACCCCTCTCCCATCCACCTTGCATAGGCTCTAGACTGCGCCCTCTACTAGAGGAAAGCAACTTTCCAGCAAGACAGCAGCTGCGGTCACGGTGTCCTCATCAGATTCATTCGCCCTCTCAGAATTCAAACACCAAGCCAAGAGAAACTGAAGAACAGGTTACACATTAGAAGGGGGACTCTTATTCCAAAAGGTTAAGCAAGACAGAGAACAGACAGACAAAGAATGGGAGCAGAGCAGGGACAGGGCTCAGCGTGGGGGTAGTGGCTGCGAGGCGCATGCGCACGCGGGGCAGGGGGGCACGCGGCCTCCTCGGTGCTTACCTTGTTCCTCTTGAAGTAGGCTCGCCGGCACGCTGCAAAGCACTTCTCGCTGCAGAAGCTTTTCACCTCGCTTCCCATACTCAGGGAATAGCGCTTGATTCCCACTTTCTGGCACCAGGCACACATTATTTGTACATTTGACACATCATCTTCTATAACAAAAGTATAAGAAAAATGTTCATATCAGAAGCAAACATCCGTTCAAACTCAGACACATCCACCTGCCAGAGCTCCTAGATGTGATTCGTTTCCAGACCTCACCGTCTTCTGACCAACTAGGATGGTCGGCTCTTAGAGCAGCAAGGAGAGGGACTAAAGTTTCCTAATGACATGCTTTAAAACCAGACCATGACTATAGAGTCACAAGAGTTCCTATGACTTCTAACCTAGTCTCTATCTGCCTAGTTCAACGAGCCCCAGCAATAAAGTGGTCAAGCTTATAAAATTAATGACCCATCTTTTACAAAGATCTTGGGGAAGGTCTACCAGATCCGTGTCAGGTGGGACAATTTGTAGAGTGCTAACCTACAAAAGCGATGCCCTCACTTGAACCTCAACAGTCAACCCAGGCCCTATCATTGTGTGTGCCCTATTACTGCTAAATAATATGGGCTGTTGTTTACTCTTGCAATATAATGATTCCCAAGCCATGTGTTTAGCAAGAGACAGAAAAGCTGTGAGTGGCCAAATTCTGGCAATGGGAAGGGGTAGGCCTGGCTCACTAAGCAGTTTCCTACAAGGCAGCTTTCCAGCACTGCAGTCCACAGGGAGCTAGCTGCAGGCCTGATTGACATTCTCTGCATTAGAAGTTGTTATCCGCCCCTGGATGGAGGTATGGTAATGGCGGCGTCACATCATTCTCAGCCAGACTGATGGGATGCTGAGTGATTTCAGGAGGTGTGTGAATATTTCTAAAATTCAAATTGATGCATTTCTTTTCTTTTGTATGAGAAGAAAGCAAATTTAACTAGCACAATGATCCAATGATATCACAACCATTACTGATTAAAACAAAGTCAGGCTTTTAAAGAGAGTCAGTTCATAAAATATAGACTAAATCATACTGCAGGTGGGAAAAATTGTGACAAAAAACTGGACTGGCTGCATGGCATAGTGGTACATGCCTGTAATCCTAGCACTCTGGGAGGCTGAGGCAGGAGGCTAAGCCAATCCTGGACAACTTCATAACTTAAGAAGACCCTGTCTCAAAAAAAAGGGCAGGGTATGTAGCTTAGCTCATTGTGTTATGTGAATGTGATAGCCACTACACTATGGAAATGCATTCACTCAGCTCATTGTGAAACCGCTGGAGTTCAACCCCCAGTAAGAGGTAGGGGAAAGGGGGGGAGGTATGGATGGGATTACAATGGTGATATTCAAATGGAAAACAAATTTATTTATTTATTTACTTACTTACTTACTTACTTATCGTGGTACTAGGGATGGAAGCTAGAGGCACTTTAACACTGTGCTATATCCCCAGCCCTGTTTTATTTTATTTTAGAGACAAAGTCTCACTAAGTTACCCAGGCAGAACTCAACTTTGCTATACTCTTGCCTCAGTCTCCCAAGTACTAGAATACAGCTGAGTGCCACTGCACCCAGCTAAAAATAACTGCAAAAATCTAAGAAATATTTCCTTGCTGCCTTGGAGGGGCTTTTGCTGTCTCTCAAGTGTCCTCTGCCCTCTCAAATCTGTTTGTGTGTGTGTGTGTGTGTGTGTGTGTCTGTCTGTCTGTCTGTCTGTCTGTCTGTCTCATTGGTTGCATTATTAGTTATAACTCTTCTTTCTCTATGAAACTGAGTGTTTGGTTTTGGTTTTGTTTTTTGTACTAACCCAGACTCATGCTCCAGACATGAATGGTAATCACAAAATTCCCAACAAGCTCTGGTATAGTGTTGTCTGATTTCTGAATAAAATCCCCCAAAGACTAATTGCTAAGCAAGGCCTGGTCCATGAGCTGTTGACATATTCATGGTTCATATAGTCTGTCATGCAATCATTCCATTTCCAGGGAAAAGATTTGGTTTGAGGCAGTGTGGTCATCAGCCTGCAAAATTAGAAGCAAACTAATTTGTAATGCAGTGATATGGCTTCTTTCCCCCTGAGTATCATCACTCAAAATTACGTGCAGCATTTTATGTATCTTAATGGAATAAACATTGTCATTTTAATGACCTTTTCTATTTCACAAATTATAAATTGTGATTTATTGTTAATTATCAAATGAGACAAGTGTAAAAATTTTTTTATGTTAGTCAAACATTTTTGATAACAACTTTCTTTAAATAAAGTCATAATTTGAATGAAAACAATTACTACATGTAGTAATTTTTTTCCATTCAAGATATTTTATATGATTTCTACTATAGCATGATATTACATATGCTGGCATGGTATTATGTGGTAGGAAAAATTAACAAAGTTGTACAATTTACCTTAAAGTGAGGCAGAATTATCTCAGAAGCAACATTTTAAGAATAATCCTCAATCATCAATTAACTAGCACTAATAGTTTCTATTTTTCCCAATCAATTAAATGCCTTAATGTCTCAAATTCATGGAAAAGAAAATGATTCAGCAGAACACTCTCACAAAGGGTCTACTGTCAATAAGCTTGTTTCTGATGAAATCCTAAAGGAAAAAAAAATTTTTTATGGAGGAAATCAGTCGGTCTCACAGTTTAATGAGCGGACCAATTTCCCAATGAGCCATTTGGGAACATGCATTAGGTTCTCCTCATTGCTTCTTCCTTAAATAGTCTAGTTTGGGAAATAAAACATCAGATTTGTTTTTAAAGTCTTAAGTCTTTAAATCTAATTGACTAAAAGTGACAGAGAAAGGGTAGAGGGCAACACTATCAGAAGGCTAGTGCTTAGCCTGCCGCTGGGCCTGGCCTGGAGGAGGATGCTTGGGGCCCGAAGGCAGCTCCTGGATCTTTCTCATGCTTTACTCCATCATCCAGACAGGCCCACTTGTCATTTTCTAAAGAGAGGCAAGGATGCATTGTTACCATAGACCTAACGAATAAACAAAAAGTAAAATTTTTAAACAGATTAGTTTTGTAAGTCACTCTTACTGCAAAGCAACAGTATGGGAAAATGAGACAAAAGAATTGTGTACTTTTGTATGTAACAGTTGGAAAACTCTTAGATGGTTGTTAGCATCTGTCTCGTTAAGTAAGTCAGTGTTCCCATCCATTTTTCATAAAATTCTGATTCATAAAGGCAAATACTTTAGAAAACTTCCATGAGATTTCTACTTTTCTTTCATCTAATTAACAGCTAATGATCTCAAAAAAGGTATTGCAAAAGTTCAAGAAAACATTTTCAGATAAGTCAGATATTCTAGACTTATAAGTCATTGATATCAGCACTATTCTTAACAAAATAGAACTGTAATTATCTAAATTACTTTCATCAACTAAAATACAGTTCAAATTCTGCCACCAGATGTGACATTGTGCCCCATCTTAAAATGACTACATCTCTAAAAGAGTGAACTTTTTGTAAACAATTATAGTCAAAAGGATTGATTCATTCCAACTATATCTTTTTTTACCTGAAACCTGGTAATGACATTCATGCTTTACACTGGCAAAATAGAAAGCCCCCGCAATTAATTTGTCTCACTTGATCTGCTTTAATTTTTTTCTATTTAAAAAAAATTCCTTTAAACTACAGATACTATAACCTAATTTCCTATTTCATTTCTAGGCTAAAGGTCTGTGCCGTCAGAGATTTGATATTAATTCAACAAAGATTCACACAGCAGGTTTTTATATCGCATTATTATAGCCACTGAACAATACAACAGCAAATGCAGAGTGTTTACAGCATAAAATCACATTCCCAGAATGAACAGTTGTATGACACCATAAAATTTTCATATGATGTTGTATAAATATGCATCAGTCAAAATATGCATGTTCTAATTAACCATGAAAAGTTCATACCACCTCTTTAGGATTTAATTAAGCACAATGTTTAAGACATTTTCTTTTTAATCTAATGTTCAAAGAGCTACAGAACATTTTTCTACTTTACATTCCAGAAGGAAAAGTTTAGATTAATTACTTTAAGATGAAATTAAAATTGTATTTATTTATTATAGTACACAGAAGTATGAGATCAAGCATTTCAGGGATGCCTTGCTGAAATGGTATCAGAAATTGCCTTATCTGGTGACTCTGAAAAATAAAGGATGCCCATTGGTCAGTGAACTTGGGATATTTGAATTGCAGCTAAAAACACCCATACTGTGTTAGTTATTTGACTGGAGACCAGAGAAAGTCAGGAGAACTTCAATAGGCACCAAGCAGTTAAATTCTAATTTTAATTGTTACTTCCTTGGGAGTCCAAGAATAAGGAAAAGTTCTGGAAATATTTTCTGGTGATATTTATCTCTTCCAGCAATTTCTAGAATGCACACATCCAGTGATTCATTTTGAGAGAATTAAATTTAAAACAAACTACAAAGCAGTCTGGAGAGACTTCAGTGTGTTCTCCATGTGATGAAATGAAAATATGACCTGGACAGCACTCTGTCCATCTATTTGTTGGAGCAACTAAATTTAAGAGCAGAGGGCTGGGGATTTAGCTCAGTGGTTTCGCCACCTGCCTGGCAAGAGCAAGGACCTGAGTACAATCCCCAGTACCAAAAAAAAAAAAAAAAAATTAAGAGAGGAATAAAGGGGATTAGGAGTGTAGCTCAGTAGTAGAGTATGTGCCTAGCATGTGCAAGGTCCTGAATTCAATCTATAGTACCAGAAAAAATTAAAATAAATAAATAAAATTTTAAAATAGAATAAAGACATGGCCTGGAAGGCAGGCAAGAAACTAGGGTTACATTCTGCTTTCTTTGTAGTTCATCTGCAAAGAAAGAAATTCCTGTTTGGAACAGTCCAATTCCAACTACTTCAAGACACTACAATTTAAGTCTCTACAGAGTCCTCAAGGAGCTTCTGTACAATTCCCTATGTTCTAGAAGTGAACAAAAAAGGACAGCTGGGGGAAAATTGGGCCATTGAACCAAAAGGCAAATATGCATAGCTAGCCATTATTCCATACTTAGTAGGTGCTGAGCACAGTGAATTTTAGCATCATCCAACATTGTTCCATCTTAATCACAACCACCAACAACCATTGTACA